TGGCAATGAGTATTTTCGTGGATAAACCTCGATCACACATCATTTGTACATCGGGTCTGTGCATGCGTGTATTGCTCAGTACACAAGGCTTTCGAGGTCGTCGATTATAACGAGCACAAGCTGAAGGAAGGGGGAATTCCAGACTTGAGAGCGGACCCAACAACCCAACCGAAACCACAAGAGAACTCGAACAACGGTGATGGCACCCAACAACGGGACTCCTTGTGCTGCAGACGTGTCGAGGTCAAACATTTCTTCCATTTCGTTCATTATTTTTTCGTATGAACATGAATTTTTGTCCCAATGACAGAAATAATGAGGTGCTTCTCTCAAATGGAGTCGAAGATTTTTCAGATGATTGGGCAATGTTTCCCAGGGCGAGGGAATTTTCCGGTGTAGAGGGCTTTATTTTTTTCTGGCGAGAGGTTGTTTACTGTTTGAAAATGAATAAAGTATTAGGTCACAGAGCTGAGAGATGTTTACATAAATGTAAATATTGAGGCTGCCTAGAGAATAAAGAGAGACTGTTCTTCATCGACGAATTCTATTCCGTCTTCGTGATGCCTTCGCTGATGCAGAGAATCTCATGATGTAGACATGTCTCAATTCGACTAATAATTCATCTAAAAATTCAATGTAATATGACAACGCGATGGAAAATTGAGACGAATAAATAATTTATTTCATTCAATAGTAAATGAACGATCGCTAGAAAATATCACCGTACTCTACCCACCGGAAATGAAGAAAACGAAGCCTTCACAAAAGCTAGAATACCCCATTCCCACAACTCGTCCCATTTATGCCTGAGACCCAATATCACAATATTTCCCCTTCCCCATCATTTAATTTCCCCTCTTGATGGGTCTCGCAGTGTGACAAAGGTATTTACCCGTATTAAACCCCTCGGTAGTAGTTCGTCATTGGAAGTTCGGGAGAAAGTTGTTTTGGAGGTGAAGCTGATTGGACGAGTGACGAAATCACGGAAGCACGGACGGGGTCCAATCGTCGCACTGCCAACTTTCTCAGAGCTAACCCCTTGACCATTATATAAATCTCCAGCTCCTCGGTAACAAAGAGAAAAAAAAAATTGAATAAATTCCCGAAATATGAGTCAACCATGCCTATTCATGCAATTCCAATAATTTTTTCCTCCCTTTTTCTCCTTTTTATGGATTATTTTCCAGTAAAGAAAAAAATCAGTAAGGACCCCTCGAGATTGGCATGCGCCTGCGCTTGGTGACGCTTTAAGTGACGAATGACAGTTGACAGCCCTGCGAGTAACAGGGAGCCCTCGAAATCGCGGCGTTGCCACGCGATCTTTTTTTCTTTTTTTTTTTCCCCCTGAGAAAACGTCATAACCGAGATATTCACGAGCAAATGGTGCGTGTATTTGTCATCAGAGCAAGTGGCTAGAGGTGCGTGCAAGAGGCGAGGTCGATTTTTACTGAGGACACCAGTCCACTCTCGATCGTCTTCATTACGCAACCGCAAATACAATCACTAAAATATAATTGTATCTCACCTTGGGGCATGGAGAAGAATAAAAAAAAAATGGTTTAAAAATCATTGGGAGGGGGTTGACACCGAAGGTCTCGCTCCCCTCTACTTCGTCGTGTAGAACATTCATACGTGTCATCCCTCTTTCTCATTGTGGAACGAATTCACCGTGAAATCTGAATTTTGCGTAGCGGGAAGTTTTGTGAGAGTCACTGGTGAACTCGACGTAATTGAGATGTTCCTGTTTTACGGTATAAATTAAAACCAAATGAATAATCGAAGCTGTTTTTCTTCTGGGTCGATAAGAGACAGGTATTGGGGTAAATGTCCTTGAGGTGGAGAAATTATTCGGAAGCATGTTGAGTGGATGTTGAGCAAGAAGATCACGTATTTTGTCACGTAGTCTTCTTTGTTTTGACTAGTTGTCTTCTGAAGCGTCATAGTCTCTCTAACTCATGGTTGCGTAACCTCTCGGTGATGTTGATACATGTAAACATGTTCTCCTGGTTGAATTTTGAATTGAGTTGAGAAGATCAGCATAATTGGGTCACGAACATGCCAAATGAACACTTCAGACGGATTTTTTGAATATCACAAAATCCTTGAAACCTCATTCAGTTATTTCTCGGTAAAATTCTAGTCTCTTTGAATTAACCCACAGACTGGACTCAATTTCTTCTCGAGTGCACGCATTTTGAAAAATTTCCAAAGCATTAATTTTGTTCAACCTTCGTCTATGCTTAAAATGGAATTGAGAGCTTGCGTGAAGGTAAACGGGACCTTCTCGTGCGTTGTATTACGTAGTTTCTTTTGTTTCGAAGATACCTCGACCTTCAAAGCGTCTCAGTCTCTCTAACTCGTGAATATCAATATTTTCCATCCTCCCGTACTTCAGAATTAAAGAACCCGACGAAGAGGATCATCTTCCCAGGATATTCTCCACCTCAAAACCTTCTCCATAAATATCCCTGACATTTTCATCCAAAACCTTCACTTTTCAAAGACAACGGCTAATTAATGCTAAGTAAATTTTCACAAGTCCCAATATGCAAACAAATGCTGAATTAATTACGAGAGTGTTTTCATCTCCAGCCCCGACCTTCATGATCTACAGAGACACCAACCTATAATCACCCGCAATAAGTGGAAATATCCACTGCATTTCAACAGGTCAATTAATCATGAAATCAAATTATTTCATTAAACTTTTTACCTCTCCTCGTCTCCATAATTACGTACTGGTGCTCCGGTGTAAATACTTTTAATATGGTTTTCGTTCGGTCACTTTAACGACCTATCAACCGCGTCAAAACACTCGAGTCGATTAAAGGACGTATCAAGGACGCTTTAAAATTTCACCGCGGTTGAGCGAGGGAGAAAAAAGAGTAAGGGCAAAAAAAAAACCATCTAGAAAAAAAAAAAGTTCTCTCTCCCTCCTCTCGTTCTCGCTGTCTCGCACCCCCGTCGAGACCCACCACTCTTTCTCGTTTCATTCATTCGCGACCTCGGCGGATACACTCCACGCGTCATGCATCGTTTTATACCGTACATATTACTCTATCCCCAAGATTATTTCCTTTTTATCGTCCCTGCGAGCCTCTAACGTTATAATTTCTCGACGAGATGAAAAAAAAAAAAAATAGAGATTAGTGGAAAATTTTTCATCCGCATTGTTTCAATATTGGAGATTATTTACAGATTAGCTGTAAATCCATGATAATAAATGTCTGTCTATCTATCTTTATCAACTAACATCTCTGTTCTCTATTGGTCGGTGGAGTGAAAGCACGATGATATTGATCCTCATGGGAACTGGATCGAATACCGTAACGTGCCGACTTTTTAATCGAACATTCTACCTCCCATCGAAAGCGGAAACGATCGACTATTTGCGTTTATTCAATTATCACCAAAGATGACCAACACCTTGTCTGTAATTTTTTTATCCATTTCCTCACTCTAAAAATTAAGACAAGTGTGTAAACAGTCACCAAGCTCGTTAGCCCGAGTAATTACGAAAAATTATGAACGTTGAAACTAGAGTGTTGACGGTAATTTTCAGGTGTAATCGAATGAGTTTATCAGCGACAATGAGTCTACACGGAAATCTCTACGACTAGAAAAATAAAAAGAGATAGAGAGAAAAAAAGTAAATGAGTCGTAGTAGATAATGTGGGGTTTTGTAGAGAAAAAAGTCTGGACTAAAAATGGTTATAAACCCGCTGCATTGAATTAAAACGAGTGTGCTTCACCGCCAAACAGCCGATAAGCCGTACTCGAGCGTCCTCGTATCGATTTGTGTTATCGCCGAGGACGCACATTACGCACCATTCTCCTTCGATTTTCATACGTTATTCTTTTTCCCAGTGTTTTTTTCCTTATTTCATTATTCCATTTTTTTGCAGGTCTCGAGGAGGCAAAATAAAAATCACCTGACCAGACTGTCTCGCATCGAATGATCCAATAAATCCGAGGATAATTCATATGATTAATCAGTAAATGTTGAGTGAAATAATATTGTATAATTGAATGGGATTATTTTTATTTCAGCGCTCACTTGTCCCCTTGATTTTATCCCAGGAAAATTGTGTCGAGCTATTGACGAGGATGGAGAAGAAATAAATGAAGGATAAACATCACACATTGTGTGACCTACCAGGCAATCGAAGATTACGAATTGGTTATACGTGACTCTCTGACACATCTTAAGAACAATCACCCGTTGTGAAAGCTAACTTAGCCGGCTGCATCGCACCGAGACCGTATTTTCTACATCCGTCTGTCTCTTTTCCTATCGTACTCATTTCAACGTTTTGTATGTGATTAACGATAAAGTAAGTATTACCCACGAGTGTAAATCCCCCCGTTCGTCCACATTGATTCATCGTCCAGTGATGAATTTCCATGTTTGGACAATTGTGAAAGCTATTAAATTTTTATAAAAAAAAAAAAATCATCTACACCCTTCATGGGTGTTCAATCTTTTTCCATCTTTTCCCTTCTTTTCCACCTACTCTGGGAGTTGAATACTCTGGGAGCCGAATTGAAAAAAATGTTTGTAGAAAAATTTAAACACAATGAGGAGGAAATCGACGAGGGATAAATACGAGAGATGTTCCGCTTTAATGATCATCTCCAACGAGTGTGCACACAATAATAAAAGAAAGTTTGAGTGTGATGGGTGGGAGATATTTATCCATCGAATGAGTGATCCAAAAATAAATTGAAAAAAATAACTCCCCACTGAGAATTTAAAATACATTGGGATTTTTTGTTTTCAATCGAAATGTTTGTGTGTACTCTCGTGGTGACTCGACAAAGCCTGATTTCGTACGAGTGTGAGAATGTAAAAACCGGCTCGATGTCTAGTTATGTCACTGCCTCAACTTATAACAAAACTATCATGGAGTAGTTTATACAACGCCAACAATCCTAAGCTCACTTTAACAACTTCGGAATCCACAAGTTGTCTAAAAATACATAAATCGATTAATGCTCACCTGAGGCACGTAAATTACTGGGTTATTATCCTTGTGACTTTTCTCCTTTTCAATGCACGCACGTTGAATATCAACCGTATATAATCCAAAATAGTGGTGTACTCGTTTTCACTCAACACAAAAACACAACAGAGAAAAAAAAATTTATCAGGAAAATCAATTCCTGTCACTGCATCGCTCACGTGCACAAGTTTAACAAAAATCAATTTGTCAATGAACTGCAAGCCCACTATTCACAACAGTCCTCAGTATAAAGTACACAAAATCCAAGTTCCCACTGACAAACTGCACCTCGGAACACCACTCGGAATGGAAACGTCAAATTAATATCCCATTAAAAAATTAGAAAAATCACAGGCCTCATCGAATAGTCAATAACTCCAGAGGCTTGACACCTGAATCACGAGGTAGTACAGAACTCCAACAATTCCTCAACGAAAATCCTCAAAACATCTGTCAATTTCCCTCTTGAAATCTCCCTCCAATATCCAGCTCCAATCAACCTCCTAAACGAGGTCCTCAAATGGAAAAAAAAATAATAAAAACAAAAACAAATTTCTCATCCACCAACAAAATGAGAAGAACAATACTTCTCCAAGGATAAATTCAGTCCAGGAAGGAGAAATGAAAAAAAAACTCTAAAATATCCGGGTGAGCATTATATTCTCCTGCGGTGTCTCCTCGACCCGGCGTGCGCGCTAAACGGTTGAAAGTAATACTGTCTGGTGAGAGGTTGTTGAAGCCAACGGGCGGCTGGTTGTATGCCCCCGGTGCCTGCGGCGTGTGTCTGTCCCTGTTCTACCGTCGATTCGTTGTCGTCGTCGCAAACCCTTCGTCTCTCTTCGTCTCCCTCCAGCACCCTTCGCCGCTCACTGCCGCCCAGCGCGCATCCACCGAGTGAGAAACAATCACCCCAAAATCATGTCTGCACGACGAGGACAGGAGGATTAAGGTAGAGGTGGTGGGAGTAGCTGCGGCGGTGGCGGTGGCGGCGGCGGCGGCGACGGCGGCGGTCGTAACAGCAGCAGCACAGCAGCGACGACACACGGCCGAGGACGAAGCGGAGCAAGGGGATAACTACTACAGTACCAACACACTGAGGTGCGTGTGGAACGTGAACAAGCTGGCAGTGGCTGGCGGAAAAGGGGGAACCCATGGGGGGCTGGCGGTGAGAGAGGGGGGGCGGCAGAAGGGTGGGTGGCGGAACAGAGGGACAGAGGGACAGGGGGTTAGGAAGAGGGGCAAGTGGGCACAAGGGGGAACAAGGGGGAAAGAGAAGAGAAGAGAGAAGTGAAGCGTCGGTCTGTCGACGGGCCGAAGGGTAGGGTAGTGGGAATGCTGGCACCGTGCGACGGCGTTTTACGCCAATAGTGGGGATGGAAAATTGGACAGAGACCGAAGGATACAGAGGGCCTTACGGGTGCGAGGGGTCGACGAGGACGCCACCCGAGGGGTTGTCGTGTTAACGGGGGTGGGGAGGTTTGACCTGAGCTAGTTCCCCTCCATTCAATCCACGGCCACAATATCGGTTATAGCGAGCCACTGTTGCCAGATTGTGCCCCCTCCCCCCCCTTGGCCCCTCGGCCACACGGCCCATTCCGCCCTCGTCCCTCTGTCGTCTGTCTCTTGCTAGCACCTTCCGTGTACACATGTATACGGTGGGGTTTTGTGTACGACAGAACAGGACAGAATTCGAGGAGAACAGAACAGTACAGAACAGAACAAATGTGACGATGAGCGTTTGAGAGTATTTCCTTTGCTCGTGTGTGGGTGGAGCCCCGACTCGAGAGAAAGGTCTACGTGCAGGATATACTGGGTGCTTCGTGCCTCACTCACCGGGTTTGGGAGTTTTGTCTCTTCTCCTTTTAGATTTCGGCGGGGAATGAGTTTATTTTTAATTGTTTTAGGGCGCGGGGTTGAGAGGGGTAGGGGGTAGGGGGCTGGTTGTTTTTTTTTTCTGGGGGGCCTGGGTTTGTACGGTCGGGGCCCTTTTTGAGGTTTTTATGGGTTTCTGCGTAGTTTTCTCCCTAAGTAGATATACATGGAGAGGTATTAATAATGGATATCCACTTATGAATGTGGATTTCTATTATTCGTAGCTCAATGAAAATGTTTTTGGGTGTTTAGCTCCGGGGAATGTTCACCAGGTGTTGGAGTACATGGTCTGGTGAAGCTGAGGCACTTGGGTTTAGGTAAATATGCGAGGGAACGACGTAAATGTGTCAATGCCTACGTTTCTTGTCGTGGCTATTATGTGGGATCATCGTGGTGTTTTTATTTTTCGTGTTGGTTGCTTTGTGGATACATCAAACATTTGGAAATGTATGAGCTGTGGAGAGATGGAGGACCTTCAGATGCGAAGGACAGCGCAGGAAAAAAAAACTGATTTTTTATATTTTTTTTTTTTTTTGGGCGGCTTTGTGACGTGCGCAGAGCACGTTTGGACGGCACGTGCCATACTAATGAGCTTAACAGCTTCTTCCGTATATTTTTTACGTAGTATCTTAAACTTTGATCTTGTTCGCGATTGGGTTTTTAGGGGGTAGGCTTGTTGGGTTACGGTTGTTAAAATTTAGGTAATTGCTACAATTATGATGCCCTTCATGAGTTTGTCGGACCAATAGGCAGGAAGGGAGAAAGATAACTCTAGTCGTTGGAATTCAAGAGAATGTAGTTTTCTCGACAAAACATTCTTCAACTGTCCCCTTAAAAAGGGTGATTTATTAACGACAGGAAAGTATAATTTTTAGAAAGAATTAGAACGAGAGAAGATTTTTTCAAACGCAAATGGCTTCAAAAAATATCAGCTCCATTGATTCAATAACAAGATTCCTTGAAATTGAATTAATCACTGGATTGTTTTCCACATCTATCTAGTTTTAACTTGTTCGATACGAACTGTCAACCATTCCGGAATATCTGGAACTTCATTACCATCGAAGTGCGGATATTGAATTATTATACCATTATTTATTCATGGTTCATGTTTTATTGCTTATTCTTTATTATTTTCTCGGTACTCCATCTACTCTGAGAGATGTCGAATGAGAGAATTTATTCCCACAAAATGCTGGATACATTGGTGGGAGAATGACCGAACGATAAATACGAATAAACAATTTCTGGTTTCACTCAGATTCATTCGGAGAAATCAAAAGATCAGTACAACTGGACCACTTGTGAGTAGTATTCTCTTTATTCCGTATTTTGTTTATATAACTCATAATCGCCCGCCAGTCGGTCGCCACAAAATATAAATACGGGATAAATGAATCTCAGTTATGAATATTGAGACTTGAGATAACTTCCTCTCGAGATGAAAAAAAATGTCGAGTATTCAGTGATCATTGATATTTCAATGGAAATTCAATTTCAAGAATTACCCGGTATCTCGGTAATGGAGTGTCTTTTAAAAATTAATTTGTCAATCAATTGTGGTATCGACTTGACTCGATTGATCATCATTTTACAAAATCAAAAAAACACTTTTAGAATTGTCAATAATCGTGGTAATCTGGCAATTAATTGTGCTGAAGTGCTGGGAAGGTGGGTGGCTTGGTCTAGAGTCGGTCTACTGTCGAGCTATATCGAATTCTCACCTTTTCCATTTTTGACCAGTCGATACTAGTCAACCGTTTTTCAGATCCCACGCTATTTTCTACCTGTCGCAGTGTCGGGGAAAATAGTATGCTACATAGTCCGAAAAACCAGAATGGCTTCATCCTCTTTCCTCGAAGTTTAAGTGTCCAAAATGTTTAGCCACTGAGGCCATTCCAATCTCAGGTAGGACACGCCTGCATAATTTGCCCTGTTGCCACTGCTGCATTTGCCTCGGTCGGGGCTTAAACACTCGGGGAAACATTTCTCTTTGGTGAAATATTGGAGGCAATGGCTGAGAATTGATTTTTAGAATGCCTCATAGAGACAGAATATTCAATCGATTTTCTTCTTTTCATGGTTGAATATTTTTTTTTACTGCATTTCGAAAATGTCGAACGGCGTCACTCACTTTGAATTATTCCAACTAAATTTACTATTCCTGTTGATTCGTCAAAAAATTGAGTTTCAAGCTGGGAAACTCCTTGGAATTCTAAGGAAGTTATAAAATATGGAAAATCGCACGTGTTCTATGATAGGAAAATTTCTAGACAGCATTACAAAATGTCAGACCTATTTTTAAAGAGTTATTCCGATAGCTTTTCATTTTTCAATTTTTTTTACAAATTTCCGAGAAGTGGTTGATAACATTGACGTGAAGAAAAATATGGTTTTTAATTTTTATTATTATTCAATGTCTCACGAGGTTTCGAAAATCAATTAATGAAATTAATTGCATTTTCAATTATTTATAATGATAGAACTTAAAAACGGTATATTTTTCACGTGAATTTGATCCAGCATTTCCCGGAAATTTCTAAAAACTAGGAAAAATCAGGAGATCGGCAATAACGCCTCAAGAATTTCCGGCTCTGTCGTACCGATACGTAGGATACTCTCAAGAAATTATGTAGTGGGCCAATATTCAACCAACGATACCTAAAACCTCACTAATATTTGAATATCCTCATGAGAAAGTGACGAATGCCAAATACCCTAGTGATTGTTTAGTACAGCTACCGCTGCGCAGTTCACCGCTCGGTGATGTAAAAGTAGAGATGAATTTCACTATTCCACCGATTTCACTTTGCTCGCCATTACCTCCTGTACAGCTCCACCTAAAAAACTTAATGAGAAAAAAAAAACCTAACGAAATTCCACCTGTGACGCTGCGACTTCCTGTCCCTCAAAAAAAAATAATAATTAAAAGCACGAGGAAATATTTGACAAATCGCGGTAACTGAAAGAAATTTTTACCAGTGCAATTATAACCTTGAAAATTAATTTTTGAAAATTAATTTTTGAAAATGAATTTTTGAAAATGAATTCTTGAAAATGAATTTTTTTGAGCCGGTGAAGGAAGAGAAATGAATTCACACCAGGAGTGAATTAATTATCGCTACCTGGAATGAAATTTTTCGTTTTTTCGATGGAGGTGTAACGTGATTGTTCCTGCAAGATGTATTACCATGAGTTGCACACAGCAACAAGTATTAATGTCGGAATTGCCTCGTTTGCCATAAAGATAAAGTCACCGAGTTGTATACTCAAACCGTGACGCACCTCAGGACGCCGGAGAAGCGAGTCAAGGTCGTGCTCTCGTTATTGCAAATAATTTTTAATTTTTTTTCCTCCCCCCGCTGATTTTCAAGTGACTTGTTTTCTCGGTCTTATGCAGAGGTGAATATGATCCCGATGGGCAATTTGCTACTAAGACCGGTAGCTGATGGTGGATTGTTACTCGCTCCCGCGATTTTTAGAACACCAGAGAACACAACAGCAACACTATCTTTTTCATCGAAACGATTCGCTATTCTCACGAACCAACAATGGGGCCTTAAGGAGAGGAGAATTGCGTGCTGTGAAAAAGAAAAGTACGAAACGTTTAATCTGCACTATCTAGCGTCGGTTAATCTTTACAAAAAACCATAATTGATCCAATCTCTTAAATGCTCTTTTAATTAATGAATAAAACATTTTTTATTCAAGTTTTGTTTGCTTTTTCTCATACGCTCGTGTAAGGATATTATTGATGGAAAACGGACAATCGTTGGAAAAATCTGTTTTCTAGAGACAGCTTGTGGAAATAGTTGATGAAATTGACGTAAAAAAAATTTACCGTTTTTTCATTTTACTGTTATTTCATGTCTCACAGAGTTTAGAATATCG